CCAGTATACAAATCAACATTCTACTAACGAATAGTCACAACTTGATCTTTAAAACAAAAGTCCCATCTTTGAAACTGTCTGTATAGCTATTTTCAAAATCCTACCATATATAAATGTCACTGTAGTTACTATTCATTCAACAGCTGCTGACACATGGCAACTTGACAGAATTGCTCCACAGGGCTTCTGAAGCTGCATATCTTTACGGGAGCAGACTGCTGAAAGATTTGAACCACAGACCTGCGGTTAGCAGCCTAACACTTAATCCACTGTGCCACCAGGGCTCCTTAAATTTTACCTAAAAGGGGGAGGACTAATCTTTTACCATTACAAACTGCTGCTAACTCAATCATAGTTACCACCTGTTTTTGAAAATGAGGCTGAGAGTTGTGATCAGTTAACAGGGCAATGACGATCAAAGAGGAAATGAGTGTGGAAAAGGCGTCTTCAGAGATTCAATCAAATTAAACTTCCTGACAATAAATTATTGGACTCTCTGCAAGAAGGTTCCTTCTAAAGCAATCCCTGGAGCCAGGGAGTCCTTGTTGTTAGTACCAACTCATGGCAACCCCATGCACAACAGAATGAAACACTGCCAGATCCTGTGCCAACCTCACAATCGTTGCTACGTTTGAGCCCACCGCTGTTTCCGCTGTGCCAACCCATCTAGTTAGGGGTCTTCCCCTTTTTCTCCAACCCTCCACTTTACCACTTTTCCTTCTTCAGGAACTGGTCATTCCTAACAACATGTCCAAAGCACAAAAGACGAAGTTTGGCCATCCTGGCTTTTAGAGAGCATTCTGGTTGTACTTTTTCCACCCCAGATTGGTTTGTTCTGGCTCCTTTTAATATTCTCCTCCAACAACATAACTCAAGTGCATCACTGAAATCCTTGGGTGATGTAAATAGTCAAGGAGCTCAAGTTGGATGTATACCCAGATGTACCCTGAAAGAAAGATCTAGCAACTGACTTCCAAAAAAACCTAGCTATGGAAAACTCTTGGAAGGTGGATTTATAGGGTGCTTCAAAAAGTTCATGGAAAAATGGAATTAAAAGAAAATGAAAATTTCCCACAAAGTTTTGTGCTGCCCCCTCCCCAAATATTGCTCTCCCTATCTGGAGCAAATATGACTAATGAAAATCAAAGACACATTGAAGCAACTAGTGGAAAAGAACTAACAGGCCACATGAACCCCAGCCTCTATGATCCTGAAACTGGAAGAATTAAATGGTGCCCAGATGCCACCGCTGACCCTTCTGAAAGGGATGGTTCTGGGTGGAGTGGGAGGAAAATGTGGAATAAAACTCAAAATCATAAAAAAGGATCAGGATCACTGTTCAGAGACAGGTGTAACCTCTGAGATTATGACCCTTAGACATAGTCTAAGGTGGTAGAAAAGGACTTTGAAACTAAAATCACCCCACTCCCTTGGCTCAACTTTCAGTCAAATGATAAACAATCCTATAAAATGAATAGCAACACCAGGCAGGTTATGTACTACTTAGAACAATCAAATCAAAGGGCAGCATTTGCCTTAGGTTAAATCCCAGAGGGTAGGAAGGGGCAGGAAAGGAATAGAAACGGGAAACACAGGAACTGGTAAAAATGCTGTTATGTTGTAGGAATTGCAATTGTCATGAATCAAAATGCATATGAATTGTTGAATGAAAAACCAATTTACTCTGCAAAACTTTGTCCAAATCACAGGAAGAGTTTTAAAAAATAGTAACAAAATTAAGGTTAAAAAAAGAGAAAGAATTCTCTCTGGAGGGCAGCTCTACTGTGACACCCTTGGGTTGCCATGAGTGGGAAACGATGTCATGGCCAGCAGTGGTTTTACCTGGAGCCAAGAGGCTGCACACTCCAGCACAGGGATCCGGCACACCGCCACTGCCATGGAGACTATTTTTCCCAACAAACTCATCCGGCTGTCATCGGCTTTGTTCCCTTGGGGACTGAAAAGGGAGGAGAAAATAATCTGCCGGACTGATTCCTTGGTTTGCTCCTGGAAATAATTGCACATGATTTCAAGAAGTTGAAGCTCCTGGAGTGAATTCAGTCTCTGCAAAACAAAGCCAGGAGACGCTGTGAGAAATCCAGCTCTATCACGTTGACTAACAGTGAAAAAACGTGCACTCTCTTCTCCAGTGTACTACTTTTCAGCCCATTGATGCCCAGGTCCCACCCAGAAAATATACATAGTATAGTAATTTCAATGGTTCCTCTCAAAAAAGGAAAAAAATTATTCTACATCATCAGAGTCTGATTTATATCATTGGAGTCCTGGTGTGTCACTGGACTGCTAACTGAAAGGTTGGCTGTTCAAACTCACCAGCTACTCCTCAGAAACCCTATACAAGGTGGCTACGAGTCAAACTCGGTTTAATAGCACTTAACAACAACAACAACATATCATTGGACACCATCCTGGAGGCACAACGATGGTTGGGACGCTTGATCACCCGGTAACGTTTTGAGTGAGGTGAGTGGGCAGGGCCCACAGCCTCTTCTTTTAGCACCATAGACACACGGCTGCCAGGCTCTCTGGGAACAGACGCGCCGGAACAGACACGCCGTTGGGCAACAACATGGGACTCCGGGAAAGACGGCTGAAGGAGCCAGGTGCTCTGAGCCGAGAACGGAGACTCTGGCGCGAAAGACGTTTTTTAGGTTTGGCAAATACCTGTCACCGAGAAGGCACAAAAATGAAATAAAGGCGCTGTAGGAAAAGCGTTAAACTGCTAACCTCAAGATCGGCGGTTCTAACTCACCAGCGTATCTTTGGAAACCCTATTACCGGGCCGCTATGAATAGAAACCAACTAGTAACGATGTGCACATCAAGGAGCTCTAGTGACGCTGTGGATTGGGCATTCGACTGCTAACCGAAAGGTCAGCGGTTCAAACCCACCAGCCGCTGGGCGTTGAAAGAAGTCTCGGAAACTCTAATGTATCTATAAGCCGGAATCAACTCCACGGCAGGGGATTTGAGTGTGCATGGGGGACCCGTTCGGCGCAGTCACCGGGTGGGGTGGGGTGGGACGGGACGGGATGCCCCCCGCCCCCGGCTGCCCGGTGCCCCCGCCGCACCTTGGGCTGCGTTCCGCGCTCCTTGGGCACCTGGAACACGAACTCTTCCAGCAGCTCCACGGGGCCCTTGTCCACGATGGGCAGCGGCGCGCTCTGCAGCTGGCTGCTGAAGTAGATGTCCAGGTGGTATAGCACCTCCTTGGCGGCGCTCAGCGCGTCGCGGCGCAGCAGTGAGTGGCGGATGTCGCTCATGTTGCCGCCGCCTCCCCCGCCCCCCGTCCCGGAGACTTCCGCCCGCCGCCCGCGGAGACAAAGGGCCGCGACCCGTACTCCGCCCGCCCACCCGCCGCCCTCGGCCCGGGCGCCAGCCGCTCCCTGTTCCGGGCCTGCTTAGGAGGCCATGGCCGCCGCTGCCGCCGGCCAGCGGGCACCCGGGGATATCCCAACTACGGAGCCCCTGGAGCCGCGGGAGCCCGACACCGCGGAACCGAGCGGCGGCGGAAAGCCGGACGCGCTGGCGACGGCGGCCCGTAGGGGCCACGCCAGGCCGGGTGGAGAACGTGCTCAGGAAGGCGCCCCCTGGCGGCCAGGCTGCTCAGGGCGGGGCTAGGGTGGTAGGCTCCGCCCCGGGCGAGGAGGCGATCTTACTACCCTGGACGGACTGGGGGTGCCTTGGAGGATAACCCCTCCATTCAGAAAACACTCCAGCTCCCCTAGCTGGTGCTGCTTCCTTCCCCCCTTCTCCCACCTAGCTTTTTGGCGCCACATTCAAAGCCTTTATCAGCAATGATAGGACTCAGGAGGTGGGCTCCAACACTCCAGGGGCTTCAGCAACTCATCTTCTGGATGGTGTTTTTCTCAACGCCAAAGGCTGCTATGACAGCTGCGTCTGTTATGGCCTCCCCACCCTAGACTGCCATAACTGTCCTCAGGGTCCCAATCGTTCACTGCCCTCTAGGGTGGCCTACTTCTCTGGATGCTGGATCCTAGGAGGGCCACCGGCTTCCTGCTTCTGAAACTCATACCCCTCCCCTCACCATGAAAAGCAAAACAAACCCTCAGCACTTTCTATGAACCTCTTTCCCCGGCATTCATCTCTGAACCTAATATGTTGGGCTTAAGTTTGGGATCATTTTGAAATGAGGCAGTATGGCCAGAAAGGGGCAGTGGAGGGCAGGTTGGAGACCACCAGCAGAGAAACACTTGCTAGTGTAGAAGGAGGGCAAAGCTGGCCCAGGGCAGGCTGCGCTAGGAAGCTGGGTGTGGTGCAAGAGATGAAGCCATGCCTCCCCCTGGGGGCAGTGGAAAGGAAACTCCAGAAGGGCAAAAAAGAGAGTGAAACCAGGCCCAGTTGATGGAAAAGCCCCTGAATTAATGAGGGGGGTGGTGGAACACAACCACAAGAGCCCTTCTTATGCAGAAGCCCAGGTGGTTCAATTGTCATGCAGTCAATTTGCAAGTGGTAAACTTAAAGGCTGGAGGTTCAAACCTATCCAGAGGCACTGTGGAAGGAAGCCTGATGACCTGCTCCCATAAAGATTACATACAGTTCTACCCTGCAGTACATGGGGGTCACCACAAGTGAGATTCTATTCCACAGCAATTGGTTTGGTTTGGTTTGAGTCCCAGATTTTAAAGTCTGCTCAGATGATGAACCACGTGGATTTCCACCCCAGGACTTGGTTAGGCACCAAGCACCCAACAAACACAATTTGTCCTTTCCCTTCCTTATCTGGAGTCCTGGTGTGGCGCTCGCGCCAGACTACAAAGCCATTTGAACTGCAAGGTCGGCAGCTCACCAGTCACTCCTCGGAATCTCTATACAGGGTCACTATGGGTCAGAACCCACTTGACGGCACTTAACAACAACTTCCTTATCTACTGAAGGTCCACTGGCAAATAAACAGCAGAAAGTAAGTATTCATAAGTATAAACAAAAGTATACTATATTTAAAAGGCAAGGACATTCTTATTTCTTCTTTTTCTCATAACATGTAGCAGGGAGGAAGATCTCTCGAAGATTGCTCCAAATTCCATGGGAGTGCATGTTCTGGAAAATTTGGGGCGTGGTGGATGAGGGTGGTGCCTGGTGGCAGCAGTGCTGGCCTGGGGTCCGGCCAGCTCTGTACCACTCATTAGTGGTCTGGTTGGTGGCAGCCAGGTACAGAGCAAAACACAGGTAGCCTCCCAGGAGGAAGCTGAGCATGACCACAAAACCCAGCAGGAAGATGATCCTTGGGAAGAGCAGGAACAGGTACTGGGGGCAAAAGAGGAACAGTACCATCAGGAGCTGAACTGAATGGTGACACATGTGAGGGTCAGCACCCACAAGCCCTGGTGCTGTCCACTAGAACATCTCCGCTGTCTTTTTGGTCACTCACCAGCATTGCTCTCTGGCCCACTGACCATAAATCAGAACCAGAAACAGGACTGATATATAGCCCAGGATCAAATCCTAGGATGGACAAGAAGGTAACATGGGTTGCATGTTACTCTTCTGAAGGGAATCCCTTCTCTCACCTTTCTCTCTCTCCAAGCCCTTCCTGGCATCAGTTTCATCGTCCTGAATACAAACTCTGTATCCATAAGCAGTAATGCGTCACTCCTCCTTTCCCTACCTAGCCCTGGCAACCACTAATCAATCTTTATGAATTTGCCTGTTCTAGATATTTAATAGGTAGAGGGTCAGCAATAAAAAGGAAGACCCTTGAAGAGATGGCTTGACACAGTGGCTGCAACGATGGGCTCAAACTTTCTCTAGCAGAGCAGCTGGTAGGCTTGAGCCATCAATCTTGTAGCTTGCAGTTCTGTGCTTATCCTACAGAGCCACTGTGTTCCTTAAGGGATGATAGAAATGTTCTAAAATTGTTTCCAGCGATGATGGTACAACTTTGTAAATATGCTAAAACCACTTGTTAAGGATGAGTTTTCTAGAATGTGAATTACAGTTGACCACTGAATAACTCAGAGGTTAGGGGCACCAAACTCCTGTGAAGTTGAAAATCCTGTACAATTTACATTTGACATGTGGTTCAAGCTCACCAGCTGCTCCTTAGAAACCCTATACAGGGTGGCTATGGGTCAGAATCGACTCAACAGCACTTAATAACAAAAATCGAACAACACAGGTTTGAACTGTGTTCACCACCCACCCACTTACATGGGGAATTTTTTTTTTTTCCAGTTGCTATTGCAACGAGTCCTGGTGTGGCATTGTGGGTTAATGCGCCAGACTGCAAAGCCATTTGAACTGCAAGGTTGGTGGTTCAAGCTCACCAGCAACTCCTTGGAAACCCTATACAGGGTCGCTATGGGCACTTAACAACAATTGCAATGAGCATGAGCATAGGGAGCAAGCTCTTCAAATGCCCTGAGATACTAATTACCTCCACCTGTGCAGCTCAAATCCCCAGTAGCCCTTGTAAGTAGATCCATGCAGATTAAATCCATGTTGATCAAGTGTTCAGGGGTCAACTCTCTCTCACTTTCTTTATTAAAAAAAAAAAGGCTAGCACCTCAAGAGAAAGATGAGGCTGGCTGCTTCTGTAAAGATGTACAGTCCTGGAAGCCCTGAGGAGCAGTTTTGCCATGAGGTTGCGCTGAGTCAGAATTCGACTCAATGGCAGTGGATGGGAGGGTTTTCCCAATTCTGATACCTAAGGCTGGAAACGTTCACCCCCTGGGGTCATTACCTGAACAAGAAAAACGATGTCAACAACCCGGGAGTGTCCACGGTCATCAATGTAGGTCTCCAGGTAGAGATCCGAGAAGAATACCACCTGGACTAGAAATGCTGTGCTTAATGTGGCTATGGTGGCCGCCGAGGCTGTCAGCGTCATGAGGTAGATGAGGAAGTATCTGGTGTTCCAGGCCCCGATGCAGTTGTTCACCCAGACACAGTGATGGTCGAAACGGTGCACACACCTGTTACACACCCCTGCGTGGAAACAGGGAGGCACACCTGGGTTGGCCCTGGATGAGACAAGGACCCAAGGCACGCCTGCAGAGACCTTTGACACATGCCAGGGATGTGGCCACAGCCAAGCGGAAAGCGCTCTCCCCAAAATCTGAAAGAATACTTGTTACTGGTGGTTAATTTAGACCTGCTTTTCAGTGTATGCAGTACACCTTTGAATTCAACCTAAGTAATGGGGAGATGGCACACACACACAAAAGTTACCCCAAATACAAAACTCAGAAGGCAGGAAGGGGCAAGGGCGACTGAAGACTGGCATGAAGCCAGGGCCGAGTGCGCTATAATGAGGAAACTGCAACCAATGCAGTGTAACAAAATGTGTCTAAATTGTGAGCTGGAAAACAAATCTTCTGTGTGGCCTTGCACTAAAATCACAATTTGCTGTTGTTGTGAAATGCCGTGGAGTCAGTTCTGACCCATAGTGACCCTGTATAGGGTTTCCGAGGAGCAGTTGGTGAGCTTGAACTGCCGACCTTGGAGTTCAAATGGATTTGCAGTCTGGCACATTAACCCACAACGCCACACCAGGACACAATTACTAATAAAACCATTGTCACTGAGTAGATTTTCACAGTGAACCCACGTGCTGCAGAGTACAGCTGTTCCGCATGTTTTTCTTGCCTGTAATTTTTCCAGAAGTAGATCACCAGGCCTTTGTTCTGCAGACCCCTGGGTGGGTTTGAACTGCCAGCCTTTAGGCTAGTGGTCGAGCATGACCCAGGAACCTGAGGTGGCACAAGAGTTGGTGGATTTACTTTAGACAAACATGGTTTTGAAACGAGTACGTGTTTTGCTTCCTAGTTACATCAATTCTTCTAATAACGACACACCATGCTGTACTGAAGGAGTCCTGGTGACACAGTGGGTTAAGTATTGGGCTGCTAACTACAAGGTTAGTGGTTCAAATCCACCAGCCGCTCTACAGGAGAAAGATGAGGCCATCTGCTCCCACAGATTGACAACCTCAGACACCCTATGGAGTAGTTCTACTTTACCCTATCGGGTGGCTCTGAGGTGGAATTGACTCGATAGCAGTGAGTTAGCTTGGGTTCTGTTACTGCGGGTGAGAATAGTTAGGGAATGATTGCTTGGTTCTCGAATCAAGAATGGGGAAACTTCTTAGAAGGTTTGGAATGGCTTGAGTATGTGAATCTAGCTTTTTAGCTGTGGTGGTGGCGGTTTGGGTGCCACCTAGTTGGTGTTGACTCATAGTGACCCTGTACAGGGTTTCCAAGGCTGCAAATTTTTATGGGAGCAGAAAATTTTTATGGGAGCATCTTTCTCTCGTGAAGTGACTGGTAGATTCGAACTGCTGACCTTGTGGTTACCAGCTTAGCTTGTAATCCACTATGCTACCAGAGCTCCATTTTTAGCAGTAAATGTTATATCTAAATGCAGATGAAGTAATTCCAATGAAAATTCAGCATTTGGATTGAAAGGTGCTATCAAATGTACATCAGATTTCAGAGATTTAATATGGAAAAAATAATAATAATAATATACACCAATCTATGAATAATCTCTGTGTTGGTCACATGTTAAAATATTTGGGATACACTGGGTTAAATACGGAAGCCCTGGTGATTAAACACTGAGCAGCTAACTGAAAGGTTAGTGGTTCAAACCTACCAGCCGTTCCAAGGGAGAAAGATGAGGCTGTGTGTCTCCATCAAGATTTGTTGTTGCTGTTCAGTGCCATCGAGTCAGTTCCAACTCATAGCAACCCTGCATAGGGTTTCCGAGGAGCAGCTGGTGAATTTGAACTGCCAATCTTGCAGGTCAAACTGACCTTGTGGTCCAGTGCTCTCCCTATGGCACTACACCAGGACCCCTCAAAGATGTGCCACCTCAGAACCCTCTGGAGCAGTTCTACTCAGTAACACAACACATGGGGTTGCAATGAGTTGGAATCAACTCGGTGGCAGTGAGCGGTGGAGGGTTAAGTAATCGCCTTTTAACCAGGAGGCCAGTGGTTCGGACCCACTAGCCACTTCCACAGGAGAAAGATGAGGCAGCCTAGTTCTAGGAAGATTTCTATAAAGCCTTGGAACCTCTATAGGGCAGTTTTGTGGGTCGCTGTGGGTCAGAATCCGTCCTCATGTGTTTGTTTGGAGGTTAAATTTATTGTTAACATTAATTTCACATGACTGTACTTTTGCACTATGGTTGTAGAAAATTTAAAGTCCTCTTGGTGGCTGTCATTAATGTCCTGTTAAACAGCGCTGGCCTAAAATCCCAAACATGGCCCAGAAGACTGGGCTGTGCCACCACAGGACAGCAAGGACAACACCCCACAAAAGAGCACATACAGCTGTAAATTGCTACAATTTGATGTACTTGACCTATACTTATGGATGTAGTATCTCAAAATATCAACTGACAGGGAAGGGGCCTTCACATCAAGTATCAATCATATCCCCTTGTATACAGGGTTGATAGGGACAGGCTTTTAGGCATTGGCTACCTAAAATGAGGGAGCGATAAAGGCACGAAGTGACGTGACTGGCTTACAAGTTTTCAAGAGGGAGTTTGGTTTAAGTGTGTGGGGGAAGATAGAGTACCCACTGAATAGTTTTCATGTTGTCTAGACAGGTCTGGTGAAAAGAGATGGGGATAAGATTCTAATGATTCAATAGTGAGAAACTGTTATCACGACTAATTGCAATTGTCACAACTGTAAAGGTAGAAGTTCTGTAACAAAAGTGGGAGTACAGTCCAGAAACAAACAACCCTAGGGCTGCCAAAGGAGAGAGCACAAGTGGAAAGTGTGACCCTATCCAGAGAAGCAGCAACGCCAGAGATGGAGGGAGAGATGAGGGCATGGAGAGTGGGCAGCTGAGGACTCTAGACTCATGGAAAGAGAGGGACTGAGAGCTGGCGGCCAGGAGGCACGCTTACAGAATGTGTCCTTTGGTTAAATTATTATATATTTCTGAGTGTTTTTGTTTACATCCTCCCCTCCTCCCCCGCCAAAAAACAAACAGAGGAAATGGAAGTAAATACTGTTGAATGATGGTGCATGGAGGAGATTATAATCATTGCAATGAAACAATATGCATAAACCTGATGCTTTCCTATGTAAACCATCACTCAGTTCACAATAAAAACTTTTTTTAAAAGTGCACATATGGCAAAGGCAGGGCTGGTGTGTCCAGGTCTGAGGGTCACCCTACCGTACCAGAATGCAAACTTCACCCCAGCCACCTGAGAGAAACCGCTGTCTGACCTCCACCATAGTGACCACCCTCAGCTAGGAGACAAAAGACTGTGCTTTTTGATTTCTAGAAGGTTCCCTGATGGACCAAGCACACATGGTCCTATGAGGGAGGGGCAGCCGGGGCAGGAGCCACACTCACTGCAGTGCTTGGATCGAGCCGGCTTCCTTAAGTCACAAGTGGGACACCTCACGTTCTTCGGAAACATTACTTCATCAAATTTGTAAACTTGGAGAAGCAAGAGTTCGTTGGCTTTTGTGATGGTTCCTGAAAAGAGTAAGGAAAAGTGGCAGTTTCCTGCAGTACTGTAGACTTCTAGATGTTCACAAAAGCTCTCCCATGCAACACAACCAAAACCGCTCGACTCTACAATTCAAGTAATTTTTTTCTTATAACAGCCATATTGAGGTATCATCCATGTACCACTGAGGTCAGCAGCTTTTCATACATTCAGAGTTGTGCAAAAACCAGGTTAGAACAGTTTCACCAACCAGGAAGAGAAATGCTGACCCCTTTAGCCACCATTCCCCATTTCCCCCTCCTCCCTCCAACCCTCTGCAACCATGAATCTACTTTCTCTCTCAATGGATTTGCTTTCTCTGGACATTTCCTTGAAGTGGGATCATACATTGTTTGTGCTTTTGTGACTGATTTATTTCACTCAACACCATGTGTTCACGGCTCATTCATGTTGTAGCATGCCTCAGGACTAGACTTCTTTTTAGGGTTAAATAATACAAGCATGGAGTCCTGGTGTGGTGCTGTGGATTAAGGAGCTGGACTGCAAAGTCATTTGAGCTGCAGGGTTGGTGGTTCAGGCTCACCAGTTGCTCCTTGGAAACCCTGTATAGGGTCGCTGTGGGTTGGGACTGACTCAACGGCGCTCAACAACAATACAAGCACGGGATCCAGGTGTGCTGCAATAGGAGAAGCACAGGACTGTGAACCACAAAGTCAGCAGTTCAAACCTACCAGTTGCTCCTCAGAAACTCTGTACAGAGTCATTCTGAGTCAGACTCAACTTGACGGCATGCAACAACAATACGACAGGCATAGCTCCCTTTATGATGCTTCACAAATACTGCGTTTTTACTACTCGGTTGTCTGCAGCAAACCTTCATTGAGCCATTTTCCCAACAGCGTGTGCTCCCTTTCTGTCTCTGTGTCCCGTTTTCTCACAGGATTTCCCAGTTTTTCCTAATGCTCTTGCACACGTCAGACATTACAGTCTAGAGTAAACATCACTATTACACGCACTGGGAACCCCCTCAAAACAAAGATGACTGGCTTTATTGAGATATTCATTTTATTGCGGGGGGTTTGGAACTGAACTACAGTTATCTCTGAGGTCTGCCTATATTCTGCTGTCTGGATGGGCCACGTTGTATCTGTCCATTCACTATGGATGGACATTCACTGCTGACTGGTAGTATCATCACTGAGAATACTCTATAGGCCACAGCTCTATAGCACAAACCCACGTCCATGGTCAAGCTGATTCCAACTACCGGTGACACTGAGGGACAGAGAAGAGCTGTCCCACAGGGCTTCCAAGGCTGTAAATCTTTATAGAAGCAGATAGCCACATCTTTCCCCTGTGGAGTGACTAGTGGGTTTGAACCACCGACCTTTCAGTTAGCACCCAAGTGCCTTAACCATTGCACAATAGGGTACCCGCTCATATCTCAAAAAGATGAACTTAAAAAAAAAAAAAGTGGAAAATGTTAAATAGTTTTCATGAACCCCATGGTCATCAAAGAAAAAGATGACAGCTGATGAAGACATTGCTCATGGAGCCTTTGGCAGAGTACTGAGAGGACAGTCCTGACAGGGTGTGGTCCAGCAGTACGTTACTGCTTGTTTGGAGCACCATTAGTAAGGCTGAGGGTGAGGTGGTCACTCGCCTGGATACAAAGAACCTCAACTTACCTGGGTTGCTACCACAACTTAGGGCGAAAAAGAGCAGGTTCACAAACAGCAGCAGGTAGGGTAGAAGAAGGTAAGACACAGAGAAGTCCAGTTCTCGGCAGTAGCCAAAAATCTCCCAGGTGAACTCGGTGTAAACCAGCCCTTGCAAGACGAGGTGCAAGACAATGAAGGTGGGGTTTCTGGAAGGAGACAGGCATACGACTTGATCACTCGGATGCTTCAGGAAGAAATCTGGCAACTTCATTTAAGAAAAGAAGCCAAGGGCCAACCACTTCCTTTGGATTTGAGATAATAGAGGGAATTCCATAGGAAAGTGTGTACAAGATTTCATATAGTGTATTTGAAAAAAACACAAAAAACCCCGCTGCCATCGAGTTGATTCTGCATCATAGTGACCCTAAAGGACAGAGTAGAACTGTCCCATGGGGTTTCTGAGGCTGTCAATCTATACCGAAGTAGACTGCTACGTTGTTCTCTGATGGAGCGGCTGGTGGGTTTGAACTGCTGCCCTTGCGTTTAGTAGCCTAACACTTTCTCCATTGGGCCACCAGGGCTCCTAACTATAGTATGACAGCCAGGAAATTGACATTGGTACTAGCCACAGTTCATTTAGTTCCACCAGTTTACACACATTCATGTGGTGTGTGTGTGTGTGTGTGTGTGTGTGTGTGTTTCTCTGGAATTTTACCATGTGTAGATTCATGAAACCACCACCACACTCAAGATCCAGTTCTGTTCCCTCTCTACGTGACTTCTTCATGAGATCTCCTTGTACTCACACCCTCAAGATTATGACTCTTAGACACCTTTCAACTGAATTCACCCCCCATGCAACTTCCAGTCAAATGATAGACAGTGAACATATCACCAGGGAGACATATACTCCTGAGAACCACCAACCATACAAGGTTAGAAGGGCAGCATTTGCCCAGGGAGAAGGCACAGAAGGCAGGAAGGGGTAGGAAAGAAGGATGAATGGAAACACAAAACCCAGGGAGGAAGAGCCCAAAGAGTGGTGTTCCATTGTGGGGACTGCAATCAATGAAATGAAACACAATGTGTCTGAACTGTTGTGAGGAAATCCCCTGTGCTCTGCAGACTCACCCAAATCCCAATTTAAAAATGAGAAAAAGCAGAAGGGCATTCTAGAGTGCACAAAAGGCTCGAGGAAGCAGAGAGGGTCTTTGGGTTGAGGAGTGGGATTCTGCATTTCTTTATGCACAACTCTGCGGAAGGTGGGCTCTCCATTGACTCTCTGGAGCTGGCTGGCACTCCACCTGGCACCTATTTAGCCTGCCTGCAGCTGCTCAGGTGGGTGGGGCACAATGGTGTACAGAGGAGGGTGAGAATTTGGGAGAGGGAGGCTGAATGAAGAGATGAGGAGGACAGGTTGAGGGAGGCAGCCGAGTGCTTAACCACTGTGCCACCAGGACTCCTTCTGAACTATAAATACCGTGAATGAAAGAGGTAATGAAGCAGTCTTTGCACAGGTCTCTGAAGGCATTCTGGAATTAGACAGGAAATTACCTGAAATCGAAGAAAAAAGAAAGGCTCAATTTCATGTCTCATTCCTTTCATTCCCAAACAAACTAGATTCCCCATGAATGTTGTTCTCAAGTGCCATCAAGTTGATTCCAATTCCTGGAGACCCCATGTGACAGAGGAGAACCAACTGCCTAGTAGGGTTTCCAAGGCTGTCATCCTTATGGGTGCAGATTACTAGGGCTTTTTCAGTTAGCAGCCAAGCACTTCACTGTTGTGCCACTGGGACCCCTTTCTTCATGCATAAATGGCAATCTTGGTAATACAAGGTCAGCGGTTCAAACTTACCAGCCACTCCTCTGGAGAAAAATGAGGTTTTCTGCTCCTGCAAAAGATTTATTGCCTCGGAAACTCTATACAGGGTTGCTATGAGTCAGAACCGACTTGAAGGCACTTAACAACAACAAAAAAGAGAGGAGACCATTCTTCAACTATCAACTCCTTCAAGATAGCCTCACCCCAAAGAAGGTTCCATGTCAGTCTTCAGGGAAAAGCAGGGGAGTGGTGAGGGTGGGTCAGTAACATGACTCACACCCAGGCTCTGGAGCCTAGCCCAGTTTATTAGGCACCCATCTATGTCAACCTCTTCTTAAGGACCACTCATCCCATTTTGACCCTTGAAGGAAAAGGAAGATAGTGGCCTGACTTCAGCTTTCTGACTCTCTCTCCCCCGGTTTCATCCATCAAGCCCCTCAGCAGACAAGGGCCACATCCATGACTCATGATAGGTGTCAAACACAGAGGAAAACAGTCAACCTTGAGAATGTTATAACTACAAAGCACAGAGCTATAGGACTTTCAACAGCAACCAGAGAGAGAGAGAGACTTACGAATATACCACAACTGCTGTTCATGAAAGAATAAACAAGTGACTACAAATGGCATCCCGTTTTCTCTCCTGTCATGATACCAATGAGCAGTACTGTGTTCAGCGGTCCCTGATCATCACTGTTACCTGTGCTCCTTTCCCGACCAGGCCTTTCCAGTACTGGGACCTTGAGCAGATGCAAATCAGAACACCACCGGTCAGCAAAAGGGCCAGGTAGAAGAAGAAGAGAACCAGGAAATCCATCCTGGAGGCTGGAATGGAACATAAGAGAGGGACCATCTGCTGCTGAGGGATTCATTCATTCTTCATATTCCATCTGCCTAAGTGGTTTCCCCAACCCGAATATGTCAGCCTTCAAAGCAAAAGCCTTGGAGCTCGGCTACTCTTTAATGGAGCCCCATCCAACCGGTCCCAAGTCTTCTTTCTCTAGAATTTCCCAAACTAATGTTGTGATCTGCCTTTGCAAAATTGCCAGGTGGCAAATTCCAAAATAAAGTGTGTGGGGGATGGGGAATGCATCCACTCTCCCTTCCCTTAGCAACCAATCATTCTTCACATAGATGTCGATACAGAATGTACCCAAAGATTCTACGTAACAAAGCCATTGGAACAAGCATCCCCTACAATCAATCAGTGGTGTGTGGGTTGCACCCAGAATTAGGTATCTCTCCAGGTCAATAACCACAACTATTAGGATCATCTGTTGGGACCAGAAACAGTCAACACATACACATAAAACCAAACTCAGTGCTGTTGAGTCAATTCCAACTCACGCAACGCCATGTATTAGAGTAGAGTCGCTCCACAAGGTTTTCTTGGCTGAGCGTAGTGGTTACGAATCGGGTTATGAACCTCAAGGCCAGCAGTTCGAAACTACCAGCTGTTCCGTGGGAGAAAGACGAGGCTTTCTGCTCCTATAAAGCTTTACAGCCTTGGAAACCCTGTAAAGAGTCACTATGAGTCGGAACTGACTTGACGGCACATAACAACAACAATAATCTTAACTGAAGTAGATCGTCAGCCAGGCCTTTGTTCCAAGACACAGCTGGGTGGGTTTGAACCACCAAACTTGAGATTAGTAGTCAAGCACAAGCCAGGGACTGTGCCACCCAGGGACTAGTCAACTCACAGACCTTTGACTTTAGCAGTGACCTAAGCTGACATCCCCAGAAACAAATCATTACCACCTTCACCTGAGACTGCCATGAGCTGCTGGTAATGGAAAGGCCAAACAAAACACTACCACAGACTTTGCTCCCTCTGCAACATGATTTATGGTTTGTGTGTGTGAGTCAGAGCACTGATATGTCTCCAAGTGAAGGCATGAATTCTTTTCCATAAAGTACTTAATAAACGTGGCACTGTAGGATAAGCACTGAACTGCGAACCACAATGTCAGCAGTTCGAACCCCCCAACTGCTCCTCAGAAACCCAATACAGGGTCACTAGGAGTCAGAACAGGCTCAGTGGCACTTAACCACAGCCATAAATTGGAAATGTGTTACTTTGGGCCTTAGCAGATAGGACTCTGGTTAGGAATTCAAATGAAGAAAACCAATCCAGAAACTACTCATGCAAAAATTGTTGGATGCTGTTGGGTCGATTTTTGACTCACAGCAACCCTATGTGGTAGAGTAGAACTGGTTAACAGAGTTTTCTAGATTGTCATCTTTACAAGAGCAGACTGACAGATCTTTTCTCTTGCAGAGCCCTAGGTAGGTTTGAACTGCCAATCTCTTGGTCAGCTGCTGAGTGCTTAACTTGGGCGCCAAAAGGAGCTTTTATTCTTGTGATTTTGTAAACAGAGGATTCAAAATAGTATTAGCAATTCTCATGAGAATTCCACGCCCAACCTACGTATTGTTCTTGGTTGGATACTTGACAGTCAGCAGCTCTGGCATTCCTTCCTTCCAACAGTCACAGAGAATTCACACAGCTTGTCTTCTTGGGCACTGTGGGTGCCTAGCACCACAGGCAGCACCCAAAGCTGCAGAAGACATGGTTCAGAGAGGCTGGATCTGGCTGGAGAGACAGATAAATGAATCGCTCACTTAACAAGACAGCAGAGACAACTAAAACGCATGTGGCTAAGGATGTGGAAATCGGGAGTGCTGAGTTCCTCGTAGGTTAGGAGACTTCTGCAGAACCGGCTCATTTGCGTCCCAGGTCTAACCCTATCCCTGCGGTGGCCAGGCTGGGAATGCCATAAAAAAGTCAGCTGTGGCCAATGTCTAGCCGGCGGTGCCGGAGGTCAGAGCCTGGGTCCGAGATTTCGCAGGAACCAGAGCCCGGGTGGAGGGCGCGGTGAGCAGCAGGCCCGGAGACGCCAGGCCCCGGGTGGGCAGCGGACCCACACACAAGGATTTAGGTTAGCTTAGACCCTGAGCTGCCCGGGTGCCACCAGGTTCCCGCCCCCCCCACGCCTTACCGCCAACTGCCAGCACACTGCGCCGGCGCCTCCAGTGCGTAGCTCCAGGTTCCGGCGGACTCATGAGTCCGGTGCACTGCCAGAAGCTAGACTTCCGGCGGAAGTGCTGAGGGCCGCCTCAGCGTCAGTCGTCTCTGGCTACCCGACTTGTTTCCACATCGCTAATCCAGAATCCGGCCCCACGTCCCAGAGAACCTCGATTTGAGAGTGCAAGTGCCAGATTCTTACAAAAGAGCCGTTCTAGTGTAGACCAGAAAGTCGGTTTTGGGAAACCGAGTCACCTAGCGACCTGGGTGGAACCCACGCGGCCCCACTCACACTTCAGCGGGGACCCTTCCTGACCAGACGGTCAGACTTCGTGCGCTCATGTACTCGTACTTTCTTGGTGGGCAGCGTTTGCTCTCAGCCAGCCCCTTCTCTCCGAACTGTTGAGGCAGGTAAAAGGCACAGAGTCTGACATGCCTGCCGCCTCACGGCTGTTTCGGAACAACCGGCCCCCGAGGATAGTGACAATTGCTTGGCCACACACCGGGAGCTTCAGAGATTGTGAAATGATAGATGGACCCGGGGTGCCAAGAGCTGCTTCCAAACATAGCATGTGGGTGTTACCTGGATTCAGAACGCGTCTGACTCCGCCGAGACCAACCTATTCAAGATGCTTCTGTGCCTGAGCTAGTCCCAGCCGCCTGTTGAGGGACAAAGGTCAACTCTTCAAACACTGTCTTTAAAGCTCTTTTTCTGTCTGCCTTTTCTACTTCTCACAGCTTCTTGATAACTTTTCTTGATCCTTTTTTAAAAATGACTTACCAACCTGGATCCCTTCTCCTCTATTCATGTTAAGGGCTTTCATGAACTTGTGGGCACAGTTAGAAACAAGAAAACAAACAACTAACAACATAGTTTGGTTTGGGAAGATTGGTGGTGGAGGAACCCCATTACATAATCCATATTGAGCTGGAATTTTTTCCCTGTCTGGAGCTAACATTCCAGCCAGCTGTTTATGACTAAGCTGGGGATTAAATATTTAAGAGTTAGCTTTGTTGTTGTTGTTGTTCATTAATGCAGAACTTTATTTTTAACTCTATTCATTTTTTCCCCTCTGAATAGCTTCAGTAGAGACTAACTTTGAATCTTGGTTTGATCACCTCTGTGGCGCTGTAGGATAAGCACTGGATTGCTAACTACAAGGTTGGCAGTTCAAACCCGCCAGCCACCCCTTGGGAGCCTTATACAGGGTTACTATAAGTCGGAACCGACTTGGCAGCACTTAACAACAACATGTATTTTGTGCTGTGTTGCCTTAAAATTAAAAAAAAAAAAAAATTAAGTAATAGCAGTGTTGTATTCTTACAAGAGAGAAAAAAATAATAAAACCATATCAAAGGTTTTCCTTGACCACCAGCCCTCCCAAATCTCAGTCCCTTCACAGAATTAACCACTCAACGTGTAGGGTTCCTCAATGGTACAAGTGGTTAATGCATTCAGCTGCTAACTGAGTAGTAAGTCCACTGGAGGTGCCTCCAAAGTCACCTTTCTTTTAGAACCTGATATCTACTTCTGAAAAAAACAATAGATATTAAAAATGAGGAGTGTAAGAGTTTAAGTGATTAGAGGTGAGTACTGCTAACTGATGGTACACAGAGGGGATTGCAATCATTGTAATGGAACAAAATGTCTGATTTGTTGAATATGGGACTGATCATCTCTGTAAACCTTTGCTCAGTTCACAATAAGAAGTTAAAAAAACCATAACAGCCCAGCTGTGCTCTGACATACTTGAGGTTGTCCCCAACTGTAGTTGATTGAAAGGCAAGTGATTATTAAATATGTGTTCTCCAAAACCCTCTTTTTAACATTTATACATACGTATTCAGCAGGTCCCTGGTTAGTGCAAAGTTTGCATTGACTACAAACCAAAAGGCTGATGCATCTAGCTACACCCATGGAACAAAAGCCTGGTGATGTACTTCCATTAGACGACAGTCACTGAAAATCCAATGGAGCTCAGTTCTAGTCTGAAACACGTGTGGTCTCCATGAGTCTGAATTGACTTGATCGTAATGGTTGTCACAGTCTGCTGGTGAAAAAAGTGGCTCTGAGGGGGCATAGGTCAGATTCTGAAAAAAAAGGCCACAAGCCAGGTCGACTAGAGCTAGCTTCCATCTGGGAACTTACAGGTAGAGGTTGGCACCAAGATTCCCTAGGACAGTGATGAAGTCACAAGAGTGATGGTCTGCACACAGCAGTGCGTGTAAACACTTACATACTTACTGCTTACATGCAGGGAACCCAGGAAAATGCATGGCTGTCCTTTGATGGTTGGGGTTGTTTTTGTATTAGTTAATGGATTCCAGTGGAAGTTACCTAGACGTCAGGTGTTTGGTGTGTTTTTTCCTGGTCTAGATCACTGCTCAGCCAGCTGTTCTGGTTCTCTCCCAGACTCCTTTGTGGGCAGGATCCATCTTGCATGGCCCAGGACCCTCTCAAATGGATTGGGTTGTGGTTTATTCATTCAACAAATACGTATTGAGGACTTAAAATGTGCCTGGAATTGTTCTATTTATTGGGAACATAGCACTGAACCCAACAGATAAAAATCCCCAAACCTTACAGAGTTGACATTCGCATATGCTGACTTACAGAAAGGACACCTAATTGTCTACATAGTTCTGCGTCTTGCTTTTTTTCCCACTCAACAATATGTAGTCGTGATTTTTCCATGCCATACCTATAGATCCATAACACTGTGTTTACCTCATTATACTTGTATACATTTCACTGGGGGCAGTGGTCATTCAATGGTATAAGTCTTCAA